GTGAGTCAGTAGTGAATGGCTGACTAATGTCCACTGCTGAAGAGCCTCTTGTGATCTGTAAAATAGAACATTGTGAAATCTTAGAAATTGTTCAAGCCAACCCCTCGCTTTACACAACTGGGACTGAATGTCCCAGAGGAGGGCCCTGGTCTGCCCAAGGTCACAAAGTTAGTTACTAGCAAAGCCAACTTTAGAACTTAAGGTTTTTTTTTTTTTTTTTTTTTTAATCTTTCAGCCACTATTCTCTCCACCTCATGCTTCTTTAAAAAGATGGAAACAATAGGATCAGAGACCACAGAAAAAAACAAATCTATTATTACTGCAAAAACTAAATGGTCTTCAAATTTTCCACCAAGTCTAAATTAACAGAATGAGGAAGATCAGAATGCCCCCCAACAGAGAGAAATGGTGGAGCAGGGCACACCATCAGCTTTTTCAAATTTACCTTGCATAACTCCACTATGGGAAGATGCCAAGAACTGAGTAACATATGAACCCAGTGCAACAGCTGATTTTTTTTTTAAGTGTTCTGAAGTCACTTACTAAGTCAGTGCAATCTTCTAACCTATCCAAAACTGCTGAAAAAGAGTTACTCATCCCATAAATGATAGTTTTTCAATTGTAAGCAGCATGGAGTTCTAGGAGACTGAAGAAATCTACAAATGGCATGAAGAGGAACCGAACTGGAAGGATAAACTAGTGACAAAGAAAAACGTAAGTCCAGGCCAGGCGCGGTGGCTCATGCCTGTAATTCCAGCACTTTGGGAGGCCAAGGCGGGTGGATCACCTGAGGTCTAGAGTTCAAGACCAGCCTGGCCAACATGGTGAAACCCTGTCTCTATTAAAAATAATACAAAATTTAGCCAGGCATGGTGGTGGGTGCCTATAATCCCAGCAACTCGGGAAGCTGAAGCAAGAGAATTGCTTGAATCCGGGAGGTGGAGGTTGCAGTGAGCCGAGATCACACCATTGCACTCCAGCCTGGGCAACAAGAGCAAAACTCTGTCTCAATATACAAAATGAAAAAAAGAAAAAAGAAAAACATAGGTCCCAAGAACACTAAAAAGGAAAACTGATGGGATCTGGAAAACTGCACAGGTATAAAAATAAAAGAGAAGAAAGAAGAGAGATGAATAAGGTTTCTAGATGAGTAGAATGCTGATATTCTTCTGTTTTTTCCTAGTAACTAGAATCATTTTTTTTTTTTTTTTTTTTTGAGACAGAGTCTTGCTCTGTCGCCCAGGCTGGAGTGTAATGGTGCAATCTGGGTTCATTACAACTTCCGCCTCCCAGCTTCAAGCAATTCTCCTGCCTAGAGTGGCTGCGATTATGGCATGCACCACCACACCCAGCTAGTTTTTGTATTTTTAGTAGAGACAGGGTTTCACCATGTTGGCCAGGCTGGTCTCAAACTCCTGACTTCAGGTGATCCACCTGCCATGGCTTCCCAAAGTGCTGGGATTACAGGTGCGAGCCACCGCACCCAGCCTAGAATCCATTTATATTAAAAATAATTAAACACAATGAATTAGGGAAAACTTTTTAAAAATCCTTACTGAAGGTTACTACAAACAGTTTTGATAACAGCAGTACTTCAACTGCTGCTAGGTCTATTGAACGCCATTTACTGACAGCATAAACAGATCAATCTCTGAATTAGTTTTCTCACATATGAAATCCCTCCCTCCTACCTCACAGGACATTGTGAGAATGAAGTAACACCCATGTAAAAGAACCTAATCTAGTGCCTGGGACATGGCAGATGCTTAAAAGTTGGATCTTAAATGGATGAACTGTCAGTTCATCAAAACAGGGATTCACTTAAAGTTAACTATTCTCTCTGCCTCCCTCATCTATACTGCTCTTCAGCAGCAGGCCCATAGTTAAAGTAGCCTAGAAAGCATAAAGACCATGTTCTATACCAGGCAGCCCTGCTTGGGCTCATAAAGCCAAACCACTGTGAACTGTGGGATGGAAAAGTTCCAGAATGGGCCTCCTGCCCAGTCACATAACCTACTTTCACTTCATGTCAGGCCTTAATCAGCACTTTCTTTTTTATTTTAAAAGATCGGGGGCGGGGGGATCTCACTATGTTGCCCAGGCTGGTCTCACACTCCTGGGCTCAAGCAACTGGCCTCCCAAAGTGCTGGGATTACAGGCATTAAGCCACTGTGCCTGGCCTTTAATCAACACTTTTTTTTTTGAGACAGGATCTTGCTGTTGCCCAGGCTGGAGTGTAGTGGCACAATCTCGTCTCACTGCAACCTCCACCTCTTGGGTTCAAGTGCCTCAGTTCTCGTGCCTCAGCCTCCCGAGTAGCTGGGACCACAGGCGTGAGCCACCATGCCTGGCTGACTTTTTGTATTTTTAGTAGAGACTGGGTTTCAACATGTTGGCCAGGCTGATCTTCTCGAACTCCTGGCCTCAAGTGATTCACCTGTGTGGGCCTCCTACAGTGCTGGGACTACAGGCGTGGACAACCCCACCTGGCCTTAATCAGCACTTTTGGATGAGAGCAAGGACTCCTTGTCTTCCCAGGTATACTTCACCCCAACCAACTATCCACCCTTAAACACTGCTTGAGCAAAATGCAACTCCATGCCTTGTTTCTCTGAAACTCTATCAACCTGAAGCTTCTCTTTCAAATTTAGCCCTTCTACCACTCCCTACTCACTTCTAAACTCATACTCTTATTATGTTGAGTTTGTTCGGTTTTTTTTTTTTAACCCTCTCTCTTTTTCCTTGCTCCCAACACTTGAGCCAAACAGCTGAATTTCAAGGGTTTTTTTTTGCGGGGGGGGGGGGGAATGGAGTTTCGCTTATCCCCCAGGATGGAGTGCACTGGTGCAATCTCAGCTCACTCCAACCTCTGCCTCCCAGGTTCAAGTGATTCTTCTGCCTCAGCCTCCCAAATAGTTGGGATTACAGGCGCCCACCACGACACCCAGCTAATTTTTTTTTTTTTTGTATTTTTGATGAGATGGGGTTTCACCATGTTGGCCAGGCTGGTCTTGAACTCCTGACCTCAGGTGATCCACCCGCCTTGGCCTCCCAAAGTGCTGGGATTACAGGCATGAGCCACTGCATCCGGCCAATTTCAAGCTTTTAAAAAATCATTAATTGGTTGGACCTTCCTTCTCCCACTCCCAGGTCTAATCAATGTTGGCCCCTACTTCTCTTCCACTCATCCACAACCCATACAAATGAAATACAAAGATGAAGGTTTATCTTCAGTAAAAAGATACTCAAAGGTATACTCCGAGCTGTGGATGTTTCTTTAGAAGTGCTCAACTCTTTCCATTGAGTATCTGAGACAGACTGCTAGAAATGCCTCATAATCATGCCAAATTACTCATGTATTCAATTTCTTACTCTAGTATGAAAATATACTATTTACATATGGCAGGCCTTTCTTTTCTAATTTCCTACAGTTTGATGGATAAGCTCCTTGAGCAGTATCAACAGTCAAAAATGTTCGCAGAATCTATGTGTCTTTTACAAAACTGAATTTCTTGAGGAAAATAACCAAGTGTATTTTTCTTAGCACACAGTGTTCTGCCTTCTAGATAAGCAGTATTCGATCCACTTAGTTGAATTGTGAAACTGCAAGATAAACGATAAAAAGCACTGAACTGGGCCTCCATAAAAGTGAACCACAGATTCACTCCGTAAAAGTGAACCACAAAATGTGACTTTGGACCAATCACATTCTCTGGGCCTGTGGCCCATAACTGGTGAGTCATGAGCATTTATCTGTATGTCTGTCATCTCCATTAGAATATGCTCATATACCTTGAAGACGGGACCCGTATCTTAGTCCTTTTTTAAATCCCTCACAAAGCCCAGTACCTAACATATGCTCGATCAACTTTAAACACGAACCAAGAGGTGGTATTGAAGGAACAAGAGAAGAAGGGTGTTTGGGGTCATTCACCACTCTGCCAATAACCTCAGGCAAGCCACAACACTGCTGGACAGATAAGGGGAATTAGTATTTTGCAACTTAATGATGTCAAGGTACACTGAACTTTATTTCACTGACAAAAGTAGTGAATCAAAATTTGTAAACGGTACTGTTTATGAATCAACTGGCATTCTTACGCACTAAATCTCCACTTGTTTTGAACAGTCACCAGTTAAAGATGTGGATAACTAACTAGTCCACAATATAGTCTGAGTTAGGAATTGTGTCACTAGATTATCTTTGAAATCCCTTCCAATTCGAAAGCTCCCTGATTTTCTAAGAGTAAGCTCCGGGTAATCCAAGCATCACAAATCTACGTCTCTCTCCTTCACGCGGTCCGCTGCTTTACTCCAAGCGGAAGGAGGTCTGCTCTGGTATACCAGTCCGTGCACAACAGTAGTAGTTACCAAAAAGTAAATCGTGGAGAGGAAGAGGCACAGGCGGCTCAGCACCCACTGCCTTGCACAAATTATACAGAAATCACCTGAACCGAGCGAGAGGCAGCACCAGCCAGTTAAGCAAGCTTTGTTTTAGGACTTGTGAGAAATCTAAGACACTCAGACCCCTCTTTGCCCCTAAGTAGCCCCAGCCTGGTAAGGGGTCACCTTTCCTATCTGCAGGATGGCAAGTTGGCCTAGAATCTCTGAAGGTCCCTTTCAGATGCGCAGAACTGAGGGTGGCCGAAGCACTCCCGCCCTCTCCAACCAGGAGTAAAACCAAGGCCCACTGCCACGCTCTGAGGCCTCTCTCTGCAAAGCGGAATAGCGATTCTCAATCCAGGGCACTATCTCCCTAAAAGGGCCTGCGAGGATTGAGGCAAAGCGGGAAGCAGGGAGGCAATTTCAAATTATGCCCGCCCTCTTTTTGGAAGAATGTGCGCCAAATTCCTGAGGTGTGAGAAGGAAAGCGGAGACGGACAGTCACTGCAGCACAAGTGTGGCCCCTCGTCGCCCCTGCACGGGGAGGAACTGCAGGATTGCATCCCAGTGCGCCAGGACCACGGGCTGGGGGCGAAGGCGGACTGCCGCTCACTCACCCACAGGCTGCTGAAGTAGTCAAGCCCGCGGCAGATGAGCGCGGCAGCGTGCAACAGCAGCACCTGCACGCCCAGGTAGCTGCCGAGGCAGTAGAGGCCGTACAGAAGCGGGCCGCCGGCGCCGAGCAGCAGGAGCAGGCGGCGGCGACGCAACGCCTGCTCGCCCAGGGCCTCGACGCCGTAGTCGATGAAGCAGAGCGGCAGCAGCAGCGCGGCCAGGACGATGGGCGTGTGCGCGCGGTGCAGGCGCTGCAGCCAGTGGCGGCCCAGGCGCGTCAGCGAGCTCTTGAAGGGGTGCAGGAAAGTGCCGCACAGCACGGCCCAGAGCAACGGCCGCAGGAAGGCCTCCAGGATGAAGTAGACCAGCACCGCGGCGCCGCAGCACAGGCACACGAACAGCACGGCCCCGGTGTTGTAGAAGGCCTGCTTGATGGGCTTGTCGAAGCGCAGCGCCAGCGCCGCAGTCCGCGGGGTCTCCCCACCACCGCCACTGGGTCCGACCGCGCGCGGAACCCGTGGCGCCGGCCCGGGAGAGCCCCGCGGGCTGGGCGCCGTCGGAGAGCCGCCGCCGTCGGCCATCATCCCTCCGCCACAGCCGCCCCCGAGGGGCGGTAATGGGAGCCGGGCGAGAATCGCGGGCGGGAGGCAGGGCGGGAGGCGCGCGGGATTGTGGGAGTTGTAGTTCCACACTGGTTTTTTAGGACCACCAAGCGCTTAAAGGAAACTACAACTCCCAAAGGGAAATGGGGAGAACGCGTCCGCCCCCTTGGTCTCCTCACGGTCCTGATAACAAGTTTGTAGGGTCTACATCTTCCTGGAGGGGGCGGAGGGGGCGGAGGGGGCGGGGGGGGCGGGGGAAAAAAGCTGCTTTCACTCATTCGTTAATGTCAATTTCTCGCGAGGCGAGATCCCAAAAGGCGCCACATTCAGATATTAAAACCCAATCTACATACTAGAATACCGTGAGGGAGTACTTTTAAAGAACCAATGCCCCGATTCTATTTTAGTGATTTATTTAACAGAAACTTTTAAAGTGTTTGCTTTGGTGTATCTGACAGGATTTTAAATAGAGATTACCATATAATAGGCCATATTCTAAGTGGCTCACTCCTATTAACTCATTTAATCCTTGGAAGAACCCTACAAAGAAGGTGTAATTATCCTCATTTTACAAACAGAAAAACTGAGACAGAGTCGTTAAGTACGTAGCCAGAGTTACACAGCTACCAAGTGGCACAGGCAAGATTCAAACGCAAGGATTCCGGCTCCAAAAGCAATACTTTTATCTGCCATAGTATTTGGCCTGAGGAAAGAACTCTTGGCATTTTTTAAATGTTCCTCAGAAGCCTGTAATTTGCAGCAGCTGTTGACAACTGTTTGTGCAGGTTTCGCTGTGGAAGCAATCTAAACCCTTAAAGAGTCGTAGATCAAAGTCTCAAACTGCCACTGTTTCTTTTTGAGACTTGATGTCAAGTCAGTTAAGCCCCCAATCTCAAGTTTTCCTCTGTCACAAGGCAATGATAATAATAATACCTTTTGCTTTAGGGTTATTGTGGGTGGGGGAAGGAAACTCTGGGGCGGTACAAGGTGCTTCTGTTCTCCTATTGGAAAAGTGCTGAGATCCAAGCCCACTACCCATAAAATATCCCAATTACCATTATGATTTTTAAAAAAAATTAAGAAAGCCTTGACTGAGTTCTCAACATGTGATTGCTTCAAACCCTGCAAGTTATCCCTTTCCTGTTTCAATAAGTATTTCTATTAATTTCAACATAATTTTTGTTTCCCTTCTAAAGCAGACAAGACAGGTATCATAATCCATAGTTTTCAGATAAAGAAACTATTGCTTGATAGATTTTGGAGACAAAGGGATTTAGTAAAGGAAGTAAAGGAAAAAGTAATTCCCTATCCATCTCGTTTCTAAGTTTCAGGTCTCAGTATTTCAGATGGCCTTTGGAATCTGAATACATCTGAAATAACGCAGGGTTAGTTGCTCACCACTTGCAGATTCCAATTAACAAGAGTAAGGTCTGGCAGAAAGAAAGTGATGTATTCCAAAGCTAGCTCAGGGGAAGAAGTACAGGTTTCCTCCCTAACAGTACTTGTGGAGCAGAAAGCAGGCCTTTTTTTTTTTTTTTTTTTTTTTTTTTTTTTTTTTTTTTTTTTTTTGAGACAGTCTTGCTCTGTGCCCAGGCTGGAGTGCAATGGCGCGATCTCGGCTCACTGCAAGCTCTGCCTCCCGGGTTCACGCCATTCACCTGCCTCAGCCTCCCGAGTAGCTGGGACTACAGGCGCCCGCCACCACGCCTGGCTACTGTTTTCTGTTTTTTAGTAGAGACGGGGTTTCACCCTGTTAGCCAGGATGGTCTTGATCTCTGAAAGTAGGCACTTTTAAATTGAAGGAAGCAAGCAGTTGTCGGGGGAGGGGTCTGCATGCCTTATCTACTGGGTGGTCAAGCTGGTGACTGCTGGCACCTTCGTCTGCAGGACTAAGCCAGAAACCCCCCAGATGGAAGAGAGTTTCACATTTCTCAAGGCAGTCTCCTGGTGGGAGGGAGTTTTGTAGAAATTGGATGTTATCTCTTGAGGAATCCTCCTGGTAGGTGAGAGTTCCTTTCTGGAGCTCCTAAGCACATAGTTAGATGAACTTGCCCTATAGGGACTGTCTGGTGAAGACGAGGTAAAAGGCTATATTTACCTTTATTAAATTATTTATTTATTTATTTATTTATGAGACAGAGTCTCGCTCTTGTCACCCAGGCTGGAGTGCAATGGTGCGATCTCGGCTCACTGCAACCTCCCCTTCCTGGCTTCAAGAGAGTCTCCTGCCTCAGGCTCCCAAATAGCTGGGATTACAGGCACCAACCACCATGCCCAGATAGTTTTTTTGTTTTTTTTTTTTTAAATGGGTTTTCACCATGTTGACCAGGCTGGTTTCCAACTCCTGACTTCATGTGATCCACCCACCTCAGCCTCCCAAAGTGCTGGGATTACAGGCATGAGCCACTGCACCTGGCCTACATTTGCCTTTTTAAAGGGCTAAGTAGGAAGCGAGAAACTAGGGGAATGAGAAAAGAAGAAAGAATAAACTATCTCTCAGAAAAAATGAGGGTACTCAGTTACAGTTTGACTCTGTAAATATTTTTGTTTCAGTTGTTCCTACATTTTACTTTGTTTCTTTGTTTGTTCAGGCTTTCTGGGATTACGATTATAAAGTATGGTCACATTTGCCTTCAGTCCCTGTTACACTGACTTAAGCCCCCATCTACATAATAACAAAGGCCTCAACCTCCTTCCTAAAAAGTCCTTGGTGATTTCTATGGGGGGTCCCAAAAGAGGTTCCTCACATATACCCAGAGACATGAGTCAGCTGCTACCAACCACCCTGCTGCCCACATAGCTCAACTGAGTCTAGTGCCCATAGGAAGATTTCTGGTGCCTGTATGATTATCCCCAGATCCTGGATACTCCCAAACTTCTAATCCTCAAGGTACCAAAGCAGAGCTGCATTTAATTCTGATAAGGCGAAAAAGTCTTTCTCCCTCGCTTGACAAATATTTTGTCACCCAATCCCTAAAGTAGGTCAGTGTGCCAGTGTTTTAGTTTTTTGGTTTTTTGTTTTGTTTTGTTTTGTTTTTTTGAGATGGAGTCTTGCTCTGTCACCTAGGCTGGAGTGTAGTGATGCAATCTCAGCTCACTGCAACTTCCGCCTCCTGGGTTCAAGCGATTCTCCAGCCTCAGCTTCCCGAGTAGCTGGGATTACAGGCACACAACACGACCACACCCAGGTAATTTTTAGTGTTTTCCGTAGAGACAGGGTTTCACTATGTTGACCAGGCTGGTCTTGAACTCTTGACTTCAAGTGATCCACCTACCCCAGCCTCCCAAAGTGCTGGCATTACAGGCACACATGACCCCGTCCGGGTAATTTTTTGTATCTTTAGTAGAGATGGGGTTTCACCATGTTGACCAGGCTGGTCTTGAAACCCTGACCTCAAGTGATCCACCTACCCCAGCCTCCCAAAGTGCTGGCATTACAGGCACACATGACCCCGTCCGGGTAATTTTTTGTATCTTTAGTAGAGATGGGGTTTCACCATGTTGACCAGGCTGGTCTTGAAACCCTGACCTCAAGTGATCCACCTACCCCAGCCTCCCAAAGTGCTGGGATTACAGGCATGAGCCACGGTGCCTGGCCAATGCCCAGTGTTTATAACTCCTCTCATGAGTTCCTTCCATGTCTGGCCTTCAGTCCTCTAACCACAGGGGTTCAAAACCCATCCAATGGATCAGTGAGGGAACAAAGACTGAACCCTCCTCTCTGTCCTGCTCCAACCAAAGACTCTCTTCCTCTAGTTACAAAATGAGAGCTCCCATGTTACACAACAAAAGCATTTATCAGTGGAAGCAAGCAGAAGCGGGACAGGACATGGGGTGTTAATGCTGCCTAAATTGTGTTGGGCCACAATTTAGCAACAACTCAGCAAATCAAAAAAATGCCCTGTCACGGTGCTTTGCTTCCAAGTCTCAGTGAAAGTGAAAATTGCTGAGCATTTCAAGATGGTTCTAATGGCCAAAGCCAGAGGACTGACAGGTGTTACTCAGCATTTCTAGTCAATGAAACTCTAACAGAAATGAAGGCTGAAGCACGAGAATCTAACTAGACTAGTCTTTATGTGGCCTAGCACAAGGCTGAGTTCACACAGGGTTTCACTCACCCCTCCTATGATTGTCCTCACCACAATGCAGTCAAAGTTAGTGGTTTATGTGTCTGTCTCCCTACAGAGCTCCTTGAGAACAGGGACTGGGTTTTCTTCATTTCCGTGGGCCCAGCACCTGGCACAGCATAGGACATACTGAGTAGGAACTCAGTGTTCGCTGAGCAAGAGAATGAATGAGTGGTGTCCTTTCAAAAAAGACTGTCTGTGCTTCCTGCAAGAAATGATACTGAAACCTGGGGATGTTTCTACTGAGCATCCATGTGGTTGAGAGCAGAGAAAAATTAAAATACTGGGACATAGGACCTAAAAACTAAATTTGAGAAAGAAGTCAATTGTCCACTCAAATCTCTAGGTCAAAAGTCATATGATTTTAGATATCTCCTCCAAAATACGAGGTTACTTCGGGTTCTCTCTGTTGGCCTTCACATGACAACTCACTCCAACAACCTCAGGGACAAACAGCCTCCATCGGCACGCAGGATACAGTAGAAGTGAAAGACATTCAGAGTAGTGGATCGAGCTGACCCTGGAGACCACACTGCCTCTTGCCTTCCAGTTGCGTGAATGAATGAATTTTGTAATCATTTAAGCCAGTTTTAGTTAGATTTCTATTACTTGCAACAGAAAGCTTCCTGATTTATAAAAATGGTTGCTGTGAAGGTGAAATAAGAAAGTATGTATAAAACAGTACCACAGCGTCTCTGACATGGTGAGAATCTGACAGTGACTCTCGGGGTAACTCTTAGTTTTGTCCTAGAAAAGATAAGGGGTATCTCTTAAACAACTGATGTCTACCGACTCCCAGGGTATCAAGATAACATCCACCAGAGATATTACAAACACAGGTAGGGAGAGGATTCTCCAGCATGGTGTCTGTCTTAGAGCTCTCC